CCTCCAACCTACTGCTGCAGTCTCTCTTCTTGTTTATTTTCTTTGTCCTCCAACCACTGCTGTAGTCTCTCTTCAATTTGTTTTTGTCATTTGCTAATCTCTTCAAACACTTTTTACACTAGAGAATTCTGTTTACTATATTCTACTCGATTCTCTTGCTTCCTAATTCAAATTTTGTTTCTCTACACCATTTAATACAACTTCGTCAGTTGCCTCAGAATATCTAATACTTTTATTGACCTCCTTGGTATTATTTCCTTTTTGCATTTGGATAGATCATTAGCTGTGAATAACTTGAGAGCTGCTGTTTTGTCAGGTGATCAATACAACAGCATGTTTACTAATATGATTACTGAGTATAGTGTTATTAGTTTTGTATTTGTTAGTTTCCATTTATTAATTTTCTGCTCTTCAAATATTGCTCTGAAATCATTTATACGTTGCTGCAATTATTTGATAGCTAGTCTTGACCTTTTGAGGGATGAGTATTGTGTTTCCTTTAGTATTGCTTTACATTTTGAACATTTGGTGTTATATTTTAATTCTTTTAATAACTTTACCACTTCACTTGTCATTAAGCCATGTAAATGTGGTATCTTTACATTTAATTCCACTACCGTGTACCTAGTCTTGTTCCTACAAGTCTCATTCTTCTGCAACTACTGCTCTTTGACTGTATTTTTAACTCAGATTTTACTGGCTGGAAACAGAATGTTTACATAATTCCAAAACCAAAAATAGAACACGTGATTTTACCTTTCACACAGCTAGCTCTTTTGCACATGGCGTGAATCAATGTATAGCTGTTTTACTCATCACACGAATCTAGGTGAACAGATTCTTAGCATTCAGTATAGCTCTCCAGGCATAGCAGTTGAAATTCTTAGGCTTACCTAGATCTAGACTCATCTGACCTTTGGCCTAGCATGTATTTTTCAATATCAATGTCCAGCCTTGAAAGTTCTAGTTTTCTTCCATTCATTTACTCATATCCTTATTAACGAGCTTCAGTCAGGATATGCGACACAATCACTTACATATTTCCTGACCAGTACCGGATTAATGCATAGGCCACCTGGGGCCCTGACCATATAAGGTGCACACTGGCCACCCAAGTAAAACATTATGGTTCGTGAAACAAGCAGAATAGAGGCAAGAGTGAATTATTATTATTACCTGGGCCTAGGGTCCCCCTAACTTTAATCCGTTCCTCACTTCTTATAATTTACATAAATTTCCTCGATTTGGTGACCTGTGTGCTCATGACTGCTTATCTTTGTATTTAGGCAAATATTGTTACGACAACGCAGGTCACGTGACGCTTGTATCACGCCACTTCCTTCTCGAACCTTCATGAAATGTCGGGAGACTACTAGATTGGGATAGTCATGTATATATAAGACCGGCCAAGTAGCAACGTAAGGGAATGTGTAATTGAACTGAGTATTGTTGAGTCGAGCTCGTGAGACGTTCGTTG